AAAAGGCTGGGCCAAGGAAAGGTATATCGAGTGCCCTTGTTGCTGAACATGGCCTTGTGCCAGGTGAATTGACCGACTTTGATATGTCGGCTGTGGTGTTTGAAGCCAATTTGGTGGATAACCCAAGTGAGTGGTTCATCGATACTGGTGCCACTAGGCATGTGTGTTCTGACATGGAGGTGTTCTCTGAATACACTCCTGCTACGAGTCAGAAACTTCACATGGGAAACTCCTCCACGTCTGATGTGGTTGGAGTGGGCACTGTGGTGCTGAGGCTCACTTCTAGAAAGGAGTTGAAGCTGAAGGATGTTCTGTATGTCCCAGACATCCGCAAGAATTTGGTCTCCGGATCACTTCTTGTTGAGCATGGATTTAGGCTGGTGTTTGAAGCTAAGAACTTTATTTTTAGCAAGAACGGAATATTCCTTGGTCGTGGTTATCTCGACAAGGGATTGTTCAAAATGAATGTAATGGTTGTAAGCCGTGTAACCGTTGATAATAAAAAGCCTATTTCTGTTTATACCGTTGAGTGCTCTGATGTATGGCATATTAGATTGAGACATGTAAATCTAAATGCGATAAAACGGTTGATGAAATTAGAATTAATTCCTAATTCTAAAGTTGATAAAAATACAAAATGTGAAATTTGTATTGAAGCAAAAATGGCTAAGTTGCCTTTTAACTCGGTGGAAAGAAGTACTGAACCATTAGGCTTAATCCATACTGATGTATGCGATATGAAAAGTGTGCAAACAAGAACCGGTAAAAAGTATTTTGTAATTTTTATCGATGATTGCACAAGGTTTTGCTACTTATATTTGTTAAGAAGCAAAGATGAGGCTGTGGAAACGTTTAAAATATATAAGACCGAAGTTGAAAATCAACTCGGCAAAAAGATTAAAATAATCCGAAGTGATAGGGGTGGGGAGTATGTATCTCTTTTTGAACAAATATGTTCTGAATATGGCATAATTCATCATACGAAGGCCCCTTATTCTCCTCAGTCGAACGGTGTTGCTGAACGCAAAAACCGAACTTTAAAAGAAATGATGAATGCCATGTTGATTAATTCAGAATTACCACAGAACATGTGGGGGGAAGCTGTTTTGACAGCAAATCATATCCTGAATAAAATACCACCTAAAGAGAAAGATGAGACTCCTTACGAAATGTGGAAAAATCGTAAGCCGTCTTATAAATACCTGAAAGTGTGGGGGTGTTTGGCTAAGGTTTCAGTACCTGAACCAAAACAAATGAGAATCGGGCCAAAGACGGTCGATTGTGTATTTATTGGATATGCGTACAATAGTACAGCATATAGATTTCTGGTTCATAAATCAGAAAATCCAGAGGTATCTGTTGGTACCACGATTGAGTCAAGGAATGCTATATTCTTTGAGAATGTTTTTCCTATGAAGGAAAGGGCAGAATCTAGTTCTAATAAAAGAACGTATGAAACTGCTAGTGGTTTTGTACCAAAGGGTACTAATGAAGAACCGAGACGTAGTAAAAGGGTAAAAACGGCTAAAACGTTTGGACCTGATTTTATTACGTACATGTTGGACGATGAACCGAGTTCCCTTAAGGAAGCTCTGTCCAGCCCAGATGGACCACTCTAAGAAGAAGCTGTAAATAGCGAAATTGAGCCCATTATGCAAAATCATACTTGGGAGTTGGTTGATCTCCCTGATGGTTGTAAACCTTTAGGATTCAAGTGGATCCTAAAAAAAAAATATAAAGCTGATGGATCGATTGATAAGTTTAAAGCACGTTTGGTGGTCAAAGGCTTTAAACAAAAGGAAGGGTATGATTTCTTTGATACCTATTCACCTGTTACGCGTTTAGCGTCGATAAGAGTGCTTCTCTCGATTGCTGCGTTGCACAATCTTGAGATTCACCAAATGGATGTCAAGACGGCATTTTTGAATGGTGAATTGGAAGAAGAAATATACATGGAACAACCTGAAGGGTTTGTTGCACCTGGACAAGAGAGAAAGGTGTGTAGATTGATCAAATCCTTGTACGGACTGAAACAAGCTCCGAAACAATGGCATTTGAAATTTGATGACGTGATGTTGACAAATGATTTCAAAATCAACGAATGTGATAAACGTGTTTATGTCAAGGGTACATCAAATACATTTGTGATTGTATGTCTATATGTAGACGATATGTTGATCATGGGGAGTAGCCATGAAGTGATCATGGATACAAAAAGAATGTTGAAAATAAATTTCGACATGAAAGATATGGGTTTGGCTGATGTTATTCTTGGAATAAGGATTATCAGAACCCAAGATGGAATTGTCTATTCACAATCTCATTATGTAGAGAAAGTGCTCAAGAAATTTGATACCTATGACGGTGCACAGTCTAGGTGTAAGACACCCCTTGATCTCAGAATAAATCTGGAAGTCAACAAAGGTCAACCAGTGGCTCAGTTGGAATATTCACAGATAATAGGGAGTGTGATGTACTTGACGAATTGTACACGACCAGACTTGGCCTATCCGGTGAATAAGTTGAGCAGATTTACAAGCAATCCCAGTCATGAGCACTGGAATACTTTGAAAAGGGTACTTAAGTACTTGAGGTACACCCTTGAATACGGGCTCAAATACTCGAGATATCCAACCGTACTTGAAGGCTACTGTGATGCAAGCTGGATATCAGATTCGAGAGATTCTCGCTCCACTAGCGGATATGTTTTCTGTATTGGAGGAGGTGCAGTTTCGTGGAAATCCACAAAACAAACGTGTATAGCTCGGTCAACGATGGAATCGGAGTTCATCGCTTTAGATAAAGCTGGTGAAGAAGTCGAGTGGCTTAGAAATTTTTTATCGGATATTCCATGTTGGGATAAGACTTTGTCGCCTGTGATGATTCACTGTGATAGCCAAGCTGCTATTGGTAGGGCGCAAAACAACTTGTATAACGGTAAGTCTAGACATATTCGTCGTAGACATAATACCGTACGTAATTTGATTACAAATGGTATTATTTCCATTGACTATGTGAAGTCTAAGGAAAATTTGGCTGATCCTTTGACGAAAGGATTGAATAGAGATCAATTGACAGTTTTGCTAGAGGGAATGGGCTTAAAAATCCACAATGTAAAGAATGATCATAGTGGTAACCCTACCATGCTGAGTGGAGATCCCACGAACTTGGTTCAAAGGGAAAACTAAGCTATGAAAATTCAGTTGAGCACTTAGATCATAGTGGTAAAAAGACGTTTACTTGTTAATATAAAAATCGATATACATACCTTCGAGTTTTTTCAAAATTTAGAAACCGTACCAACCTCGAATTTTTACAAAAAAAAAAACAATATTTCCTGTATTTATGATTTAAGTATAAGATTTATTATGATTTTTTTGTTAAAAAAATTATTTAAATTGAACTTTTTCATCGTATTGCATAGTATTTTTGTTGATGATAGCTTATCAAATGACCCATTTTGTAAGAAAAAATAAATAAATTTAAAAATATAAGATTATACAAAAAAAAATAAAGTA